CGCCATATCAAAAACGAATAAATTGCCATAACTAAGCTCCACAATAGGATACAAGACTGTTATTTGGTATACAGGATCAGTTTAGGGAAGGGCATCTTCAGTTAAATTTTTTTTAAAGTGGGCGTGGTCCCCCCTCTAATAGGTTTAATGTGCATATCTCCTAAACCGCTCAAGCTATAATAACAAAATTCACTGAGAACAAAAGTTTTTAGCACCTCTGTTGACATTGTGAAAATGGGTGAAATCGGGTGGCATCTCCACCCACTTCCCATATAACGGTACTGTTAAAAACAAACACAATAAAAACTACTAAAAGCGCAATAAATGAATCATTAAACACGCCAGAGACATTAAATTTTATCTCTGGGATGGTATAAGATGACTTTAAAGTGATAGCGTTCAAAATTAGACAGTGGACGTGGCACCGCCCACTTTTAGGTGAAAACCCATATGTTGGGATCTGCTTAACCGATTTCAACCAAATTCGGGACATAACATTCTTTTCTATGTTATAGTACGAAAATGGGTGAAATCGGATTACCACGCCTATTTCCCATGTAACGCAATTTTAAATTCCAACTGATCCTTTAACTTTTCACTGTGCAAATCAAGCAACAATGATTGTAGCGAAGTAAAACTATTCGTGAATAATGCGCTAAAAGTATTCCAACTTGTGGCCAAAAATTTTCTAAATCGAACCTAAACTGTTCAAGCCCCTAGGTACTAAATATGTAGACCCCAGTGCGGTTGAATTTTTACCGAAAATATCGGTGAATGTGTAAGATATATAATTGAAATTCATATAATAAAATAACTAAGTCTCTCGATAATAGTATGTTTTGGGTCTAAAATGGGTTGAATCGGATCAATACTTCCTTTAATATAAAATTTTGCCAACACCTGAAGTAATTCCCCGTGCTTTGATCCTTGCAAGTTGAGAGTATAAAATGTTCGGTTACACCCGAAATTAGAACTTCCTTACTTGTTTAACTTAATATGCTCGCAAAAACAAAACAGCTTATTGCGAAAGTAAACTTTGCAGTAAAAGTGTCAACATCAAATTATACAACGCATCATTTTGCAATATTTTTTGACGTTGTATGCCGATGATGTATAATATAAACATTGCAGTTATACTGTATGAATACTCTGCATTAATACGTTTTCGAAATTAGCTATTGTGAGAAAAACGTGGGATGCTTTTTGTCATATTTTTCGTATATCGAGCATACCACACTTTACTCACAATAATACTTGTACAAGTATTTTTCGCTAAATTTGTTGTACTTTAAAAGCATGTTTTTTAGTTTTTTAAACCATATTTATTATTTAGGCATACGTGTTGTTTTCTTTTTCTTTGAGGAGGTTGCACCGAAGCTATAATACCCTGCACAAATACAAAGGTTCCTTACAAGAACTTGATTCCGATTGTTTAATTTGTATGGCAGCTATATAATATAGTGATCTGATCTATACAATTTCTTCGGCTAATACATTGTTGCCTTAAATAATGATCCATGCCAAATTTCGTGAAGACATTACGTCAAATAAAAAAGTTTCCCATATAAGTACTTGATACCGATTGTTCAGTTTGTATGGCAGCTATATACTATGTTGGTCGGATATCGGCCGTTCCGACAAATGAACAGCTTCTTAGTGAGAAAAGGACAGGTGCAAAATTTCAGGTCAACAGTTTAAAAACTGAGAGACTAGTTTGCATATACATATACAGACGGACGGACAGACAGAAGGGCATGGCTAAATCAACTCAGCTTATCATGCTGATCATTTATGTATATATTTTATAGGGTCTCCGACGATTCCTTCTGGGTGTTACAAACTTCGTGGCAAACTTAATATACCCCATTCAGGGTATAATGACAGCATGGATGTTGCTTTTAGTTGCATAGTTTTAGAGGAATTTTTTGGTTTTTTGCAGGGCCTATCAAAATATTGATATTTTTGTCACAGTGCCTTTCAGTTTCAGTGCCACTGAAAAAAGTTACAAACATACAACCATATATACATACAAATATACAGGTGAAGCCAATGAAAGCATTATAAGAAAACCCCCCTTACATTACACCTTTTAGAGGTCGGAGCGACTTCCCTTTTCCTAATTTTTCAGGTGTCCCAAAATTAGGATTTTGTATCTTAATTAAGTGCTTAGTTAGGGCACTTTATCGGTTTTCATTTAATAGGATTTTGTAGGTTTGGCAGTGGTCCGGTTACGCTCGTCTACAATGCTGTATACTACAATATTGTCAAAGAACTTGTGTACTAAGTTTAATCACGATGTCTCAATCTTTATTGAAGTTATCGCTTGCACAGACATATGACGGAAGAACGGACACGTGAGTCTAGCCTTCATTGCATAAAAATGCAATTATGTCCTTATATCCGACTCACAACTTATGAAATATAGATTATAAACAAACGTTGCATCGAAATTAGCATACACCACTTAGAAAATGAAAACAAAAGCCTAAAATAAAATGGTGGTTTGGCATGTATTGAACTGAAATATACTAATATAAGGTTACTGGTAAAATATACATGAGTACTTACATAAAATGTGTGGACGTAAATAAGTAAGATTATACATTGACAATAAGGGATGACCAATGCCGATCGAAATGTGTAACAATCCAATGAGCGTGCGTGTAGTCTGTGGTAGTGTACAATAGGTAATCCTTTATAAATGTATACGGCTGCGGCTCATTGGACGGAGGGTTGATCAATGTTATAAAATGGAGAATTGGCAGTGGGTGGAAATATATGTATGAATGAAGTTATAAAAACTTCAATCTGAAAATAATTTCTGTTGCACTTTAAATTTTAAAATCAATTTTGTTGATAATGCATAAATTACAACTTTGTATCTTGAAATAAATCGTGAAAATTTGATAAGCATAAATAAGTTTCAAAATCAGATTTTTTGCCAATGTTTTTGTTCAGAAAGTAAAGGCCAAGTAATATTTATGCAGCATTCAATAATAAAGAACATATCCAATAACGAATCTAAGTATGATTTATTTGCAATTTTTAAAAAATACCTCTTTAATCTGTATGAAGGTCTAACTTATACTTATTATAATTTATATTTTGTAGGTAGATTAAAATAAGTTTATAAATAAGAAATTAAATATATATTCCACTTATGTTTTCTAGATATTAATTTTACACACTCATTGGGCTTCTTAATAAATTGTTAAATTTTTTGCCTAAATTTGAAAAATTAATTTAAAATTGGTTTAAAGTATGCTAAGTTGTGTTAGCAAGGAGTAATTATTCCATTAACAGTATTTATAGCTTATTAGTTTATTAAATATTCGTAAAGCCGATAACAAAGCTTTATATTAGTTAAAACAATGAGTATAATAAGTCGTTATTATTAGGCGTATTTCATTGGACCGTCATAACTAATAGCTAAATCGTTGGCAAATAAAACGCACTTAGCTTATTTGATAATATCGAATTGTGTTGGCAATGCTAAGAGTCATCTACTATTAAATTTATTTCAAAATATCTGACATAAAGAGAAGATTAGTTTGCATTTTTTAAAATTTTGGTTTGTTTTCAGTTTCATTTGTCAAAGTAAGGTTTGTTGGAATTGCCAACGACTTTTTTTCTGAAAAAAAGTAATCAACTAGCAATGCCTCTAGTTCAACACACAACGCTAAGTTGGCTAAGTCTTCCATACAAAATAAGCTAATGGCTTAACGTGGTGGTCAAATAAAACACGCCATTATTAGTTATAATTTATTATCTATACATATTAAAGCGGGTTGATTTACAGGGAGCCAAAAAACGGAGAATTCGCGTATGCGGGAAATATTCTAAGGTTCGTTCTGAACAATTTTGCCTAAGAGAGTATGTGTCTAAAACCGGTTTCGAACAAGCGAATTTTTAAGGCGAAGCTTATCTTTTAGGGATTATAGAAATTTGAGATATCTGAATAAAATTTAATACATAGGTGCATTTGGATATTCTATTAATCATTTTCCGGAATCGGCCAGTTCGGAAAACTGTGGCTGTTTTCCATTGGATATTTTTTTGTTTATTACATTTCACATGTGAAAACAACAACAAAGTGATGTTAAATTGAAGCAAGAGATTATGCGGATACCTCATTAATGTGGTATAACTTCTATCTCCAATGCTGCCAAGTTTTGTTTTGTATATTTTAGCTCACTTTTACTATTGTGAATGGTTCAAATGATAAAGAAAAATACAAATTTGTTTTGTTTCTTATATTGTTAAAACTTAAGACTTATAATCAATTGTAATAATTTATAGAAAACGAAAATAAATTGTTACAGCAACGTTTTTTAACGCGAAAAAAATAATTTATCCACTAAGAAAGAATCATAACACTATTGCACATGCGTCAGAAGACATGTCGGCGCAGGGTTGCACCACAAATACTGATCATTTGTGCATCTGGTGTAGTTTGTTCGATTGGCTGGAGAGAAACGTTTGGCAAATCGAAGACAGATTATATCACATATCTCCCATACAACCGATTATTTAGTTATTTTATTTTTTTTCGATATAATGCCTTCAATTGAAAAGTTAAGAGCTCGTAATTTTAGGGCAGAACTGTCCCCTAAGATATAACAATGACAGTGAATATAAAGAAAATCGGACCACTATAACATATGTATTAACTAAAATGGTATTAATAAAAAATAATATTCTAGAGATTTATTTCTTATGCTTTTTTATTCATATTTATTTATAATCATCTTTTAATCAATTTGATTTGGTTTCATCTTCTCTATTTTCTATTTATAGAGACAATTTTGACAAAAAAATGTACATAAGAACATTGACCTCGTTCAGCTAAGAATTAACAAAAAATATTACTCTCCAATAACTACAATAACTTATAAATGCCTTAAAATCAAACAACAAATGTAGCCTAAGAAAAACTTACTAATTCACTTATATATAGCCCCCGATATATTTTTTAAATAAAAGGAAACACTAGCCTCACGCGTTCTAAAAACATCTTAATTAAATATTTGGTGTAGATCTTTCGTACCGAAACCGCCAAAATGATTAGATGCGCTGCGGTGTTGATGTGTCTTAAAATATGTGCTCCATGTACGTTGCAGCAGTTCATTTGATTTTTGTTTTAGCGTATAACGTTCGTTTTGTGTAGTTGGTTTTAATTTGATAAGTGAAAGAATCCATTGGTTTTTTAAAGTTCGTAATTCCTTGGCGAGTCGTGTTTCTGATGCATTTACAATACGCCTTTGGTGTGGGACATATAGAGGCTCTAGGCTGCGCATGCGCACCTTCATTTCGTCGAAGTGAAGTTTACAACGTTCCGCTCGTTCGTAACGTAAGCACTTATTGAGTGTTTCAATTTCGCGATAATTTTCGTCTGTGGAAATATTGATGACATCCTTGCGTGAGATGAGTTTCTGTTCAAGGCGAGTATAGTTCTGCTCCATGGAAAATAATTTCTCTTTTATAATATTGAATGATCGCGTGATTACATTCTCCCGTTGGCACATTAGCTTGTCGAGTTGCTCAATATATTCCGTAATCTGCGTCAGGGACTCCTCTTGGCTGCGTTGTACCTTTGACAAGTTACGTTCGGCGATCTCTTTTCGGATTTGCATTTCGGAAAATTCGTTCTGTTTCATTTTTGCCAAGTATTTTTGCGTTTTGATTTCCTTATCCCGTTCGGTTAATGAGTGCTTCAAACTTTTTATATCATCCGAATGTTGCTTTAATTGCATTGAGCGTTGCAGTAGCGTTGTAGCTGAAGAGCGCATAAACATCGTATTTTTGTTTGCGCTGCGCACTGACTCATTTTCCGATATGAAAATAGTCAGCTCATTGATTATTTCGTCAAGCTGCTGAATGCAGTGATGGAATAAGGCAATTGGTGTTGGTTTTTCCTCAGCAGCATATTTTGTACAATTTGAAATAATAATTTTCCAAAGTTTTTTATGTTCAATGGCTGCGTCACATGGATGCTCTGCATTGTTCGAAAAGCTGCTTGTTGATATGTTCTTCGTTGCATCTTTGGATGTTGCTATTAAAATATTAATGAATCGGCCCAAAGTTTCATTAGTAGTTAGTATATGCTGAATGCGCTGAATTTGTTGTTGCTGCATGGCAGAAATATCTATTGCAGCTGACGGAAGCTTCCGTTGTAATTTTCGTATTTTTTGCTTGAATTGACTAACGTTTTCCATTAAAAATTGCATGGCCCAAAATGATTCAGTATTTTCATCTCCCAACTGAATAATTGTATGCAGTATGCCAGCATTAGTATTGATGCAGTCCAGGCATACATCTAGTACTTCCACTAGCATAACGTAAAGTTGTTGTTCATCTATTAACTCGACAAGATTTTGCGAGCAAATGAGGTTAGTGTAAAGCGTATTAAAAAATGACAGAGTTCGTTCCACCGATTCCATGGGTGTATTTTCATCGAGCATGTCGCCTTTTAGCCGATTAATCAATTCATCAATAGATTTTTCTTGTGCTTCCATTTCTCCGCGATAAATAGCTGCATGTGTGCACACCTCATAATCGCAATGATTCAAACCGAAAATTAATTGTTTAATTACCAGTTTAAGGTTTCGCAATACATAGAGGCATTTACAACGGAAGGCAAAGCGGTGTACGGAGAATCCTTCAAATATAGTGTTTTTGGCAAATTCACAGGATGATGGAAATTTTTCATTAATTATGTGGCAAATGATTTCAATTTTCTCATACAAACGCTGCAGTAATAGCAACACCAATATGATGTCATATTCGCAGCCACGCAGCATGATCTCCTCGGGCACAAACGCTAGAAGGTGCCCAATGTGAGTTTTACACAGTTTGAGTTCAATTGCATTTAGCCGCAAGTCGATGGCCCTTTCGCAAGCCTTTGTCACCGAGAACATTTGATTAAAGTCGATACTTTGTGTTTCGTCCTGATTTGAGAGGGTGCTGCTGAGATCATCTGATGTGGAAGTGCCAATTCCTGTAGCGATGCCCAATACATTTGTTGGTGGGTCTTTAGAGAGAATATTGTTATTTAATGTTTTAACAAGCTCTCTAAATTTCATAATAGTTACGTCTCGATCATATATTGTTTCTAGCGTATTATTCTTTTCCTCTTGTAACATTTTGATCGTTAAATTAAGAGCATCAATCTCTTCTCGTAAATCCAATTCTAGTTCTTGATTACCTTCAATAATTTGTTCGTGAATCTCTTCCAGAGCCTCGAGCTCCATAACTTCCTCCTCCAATAATTTGACGCGCTCTTCTAGTTCTATTTTAGATTCTGCTAACGATGTAACCATCGATTCCGCGCCAAGTGCAGCGTCTACCTGTTCTTTTAAGTCGATTATGTGGATTTCCATTACATCAATGCGCTTCGAAAGTATTTCCTTGGTTTTCTTAAGTTCTAAGATTTCAGATGTTCTCGTTTCCAATTCTTTTTTAGCCCTCTGTAGGTCTTGCTTTTCGTGTGTCAAATGATCGCGCAGTCGCACAACAGTCTCACGTAGTCGTTGATTGTACTGTTCGAGACGCTTGATTTCTGTCGCTGTCGGATGTATTATTTCTTCCTTCAACTGATTATCTGAACGAACGCCAGTTGTAGCTGATGTTGTATTATCATTTTCAGCTCTCAAGATCTCAATATCTAACACCAGTTCTTCAATACGCTCATTTGCCGTTTCCAATTCTATTTGCAGTGTTTCAACACGTTCTTCTGCCATTTCCTTGTCCAACGTGAGAAGTTCAATGTTTTCAGCCACTTCATCTAGTTCACGTTTATATATTGTTTTGTGCTCATTAGCTTCCCTCAGCTCTTGACGACAGCGTTGCAGTTCACGTTGTAGCATACTATGCTGCTCCATAATCTGAGTTTTGAACTCGATTAAGTGGTCTTTTTGCAAACGTATCTTCTCAAGTTCGTACAAACGCCGCTTTTCCTCTAAGCGTTGACCCTTCAAATCATTTAGTTCCTCATTTAACTTGGCATTTTGTTCCTCCAAATCTTTATATATCTGTTGTTGCTGCTGCTGTTGTTGCAATTGTTCTGTGGGGCTGATTGAAAGAGCGCTGTGCGTTCCATTGTTGATGTTAAACACTGTAGGCGAGCGTAGTGGGTGACCTGGTGTGAATTGTGTATGCAGTATCTCCAGAAATCCTGTTTCCACAAATGCTGAACGCTGTCTTACACAACAAAATGACTCTGAAGGACTAACTGTAGTTTTACTACGCTTTGGTGCTGCAACTGATATGGTTGCTCCAGTAAAGGATAGTTCCAGTTGAGTATTGGAGGAGATAACACGCTGATTTGCTTGCAAAGGTTGATTAATTTTGGTTGCCTTCAGCAGATTTCCATTCGATGTTGCTGCAATGTTGCTATTAGTTGGCGAAATATGTTCAAGTGCTTCCGTATGCAATGTTGCTGTTGATCCATTCGATTTTTGATTCTTTGTTTCACTCTTTCCCACTGTTTTTCCGGGTGAGTGCGATGTTGCTGTTGAAGATTTTTTGCTTCCTACTGGTTTCATGCTACAGCTTTTTCCAAACTCTAAAGCTGTTGGCTCTGCCATTTCAACGGTTTGCCTATCCCGAATTAAATTCAATTGTGCTGGACGCACGAAGAGTCCACAATTAGCAGAACATTTAAAGTAGGTAATGCCCTTGACAGTACCATTATTTTTGCCTTTATCTTTTTCGTCTAGCACCACGCCTATCCATTTGCCCTGTGAGAAACTGGTCAAACCCACGTATGCTATTTGGCCACGCAGATTTCTACCCACAATTTGCACATTTTGGCCAATTTTATAATTGCGCTCATCCATTTTACTGCATTATTTTAACATTTTCACAATTTTAAATTTCTGCAAGAATCTATTTTCACACAAAACCACGACGTAACGTATACAGCAAAGTAGATGAAAGATTCGAGTCAATATGGCGCATAGCCGCCACCATAGTTGTTGCTAGACTTCCCCCTACACTCAAACACCTACTTGCTTGTGCGTGTACATATGTATATCTATCATATATATACATGTGTATGTTCAAATGTATTGCAACCCCCTCTAACACAAGTGTGATTGGCATTGCAAAACTTTAAAGTCGCTGAGAGAAGCTTTATTGAGCATGCAATGACTGTATTAGTTTTATTAGTAATTTTATGTAACCAATTGCAAAGCCTAAAAGTATGCTTCCAATATGTAACACAAGACATACAAGCTAGTATTTGGAAACTATCACAACTTACCAGTTCCCTACCACGTCATTTTGAAATTGAAATTGGTTTTCAACTTTGCCCAGTTAAGGCAGCGGCGACTAAATGCTAACTTTATCTGCGGCACTTACAACAAATCGAACAAAACTCACTATTTTACTATTTCAACCTGATTAAAATACATGTTGGCGGTTAGAATGCCTCTTTTGCCGGTGTTCACTTGATTATTTTACTATTAAAGTTATATTTGCTGATTTTTTTATACTTTAAACTGTAATTTGCGCACACGCGGAAAAATTTATATTTGTCTTTATTTCGTAGATTGGTCGGTTGGTGGTGTTGCACATGGAGGACATCGACAAGCGTTAGTTCTTGAGTGTATAAGCGCGTCTGACGTTTTAAACGTCAATTTTACCGTCAACCTTTTCACTGTTCCACGCTAAGAGTGTATCGTCGACTTTTTGGCGAGAGTTTCTGCGTAAATTGGTGGTGTGAGTGTGCAACTTTGGAAATTTTAAAACGGCCTTTCGCGTCATTTTTCTCATCTGCGACGTGTGAGTTAACTTTTGCGACTACTGCAGCGCTAGAGAGTTTACTTTAAAAATTTCGAACGCACAATAAAAGCGAAAGAATACACGCATAGTAAAAAATCTATGCTCCCAATGTTTTCGTTCGTACATTTGCGAGATTGCATTGAATTTCTGTTTTTTTTTTGCTTGGAAGTTATACGAAGGGGTGAACCCTCAAATCATCCCTTCCACAGTTTAAACTAAAAAGCGAATGAACGAAGAAAATACATTCAAGAGGACAGTGGTGCGGTGAAACGGGTTGTTGCTGCTATTGTGTAGCATTACGCGAGACGCGTATCCTTTTTTACATCAAATAAGATGCATACTCAAACGCAATACTACTTGTATGTATTATAGAGGTTCTATGACAAGCACAATTTTACATGCCGCACACTTCTATTCGTACCAGTTCCACCAAGTCTTTATACAAACAATTTTGCCGGAATACGAGCGCTCAACTGATTAACGTATATGTATAAGCCCGTTAGCACGGAACGAATTCGTTTTCCATTTCGTCTATTTTGTTCTGTTTCCTTTCCCGTATCCTCATGTCTAAGTGACAGATTGGACGGTTCGCGGTGCCTTTGGATTTGTGTTTTGATTTTAAAGTTAAAAGTGTTAGTATTTCAATCTGCTCCTATCAAAGTGCAGTAAAATAAACACACATACAAACTTAAGTGCAAATATACGCATGTAGTGCACTAATGTAAGGTAAAAATCTAATTGGCTATATTTTCGAAAATGTTATGGGTAAATTTCTAACAGAACATCACAACAACAGCACAAAGGCCAATATTGTAAAATGAAATATTTCCTTTGCTATAGTATAAGAACGTCTCGCCATGATGGCATAGGATTAACCAGTTGTGTTGTGGCATGTAAATATGTTCGAAACAATATTGTGCTAACATTTGTATTAATACTATTGCACATTGACTAGTTACGGTGTTTTAAGTTCTCGCAGCTGTTGAAATATGTTGTTACCACATATGGACACACTTTTATATTTTTTTGGAGTTTATTATTCAAAATATTACACATATATTTAATAAATTTAACTTAACATATCTTTTTATATTTCTTCTCTACAGAGCTCCTGGCTCCTACTAAGAAAGGCTTACATTCGACAGAAAAAAATCTATTGTATAACTAGAACAACTTTGTCTGCTTGTCTTAATTATAGACTTGCTTTATTTAATATAAATAAGTACGAAATCAAAAAATACCAATATGGATAACAACGAAGACTCAGTTGAATGCCCACTTTGTATGGAGCCCCTTGAGGTCGATGATTTGAACTTCTTTCCTTGTACATGCGGGTATCAAATATGCCGATTCTGCTGGCACAGGATACGCACCGATGAGAATAAACTTTGTCCTGCATGTCGAAAGGAATATACGGAGAATCCTGCGGATTTTACGCCTCTAACTCAAGAGCAAATTTTGGCATTCAAGTCGCAGAAGAAACAACGCGATCAAAAGCGTAAGCAAAAAGTACGCGTGACTGAAAACCGCAAGCATTTGTCAAATGTCAGAGTGGTGCAAAAGAATTTAGTATTTGTAGTTGGCTTGCCGCCACGATTAGCCGATGCTGAGGTACTTAAGAAGCACGAGTACTTTGGCAAATATGGTAAGATACATAAAGTTGTGATAAATCCAAGTACTGCATATGCTGGGGTTCAGGGTCCGTCTGCTTCGGCATATGTCACTTACGTACAAAATAATGATGCTCTGAGAGCCATACAAAGTGTCAATACCCGTAATATAATAATAGATGGCAGACTTATTAAAACCAGTTTGGGTACAACAAAGTATTGCAGTCATTTTATGAAGAATCAAGTGTGTCCCAAAGGCGATTGTATGTATCTACATGAGTTGGGCGATCCAGAGGCTAGCTTTACTAAGGAGGAAATGCATCAGGGGAAACATCAAGAATATGAGAAACGCTTACATGACGCATTAGTTGTGAGTACTAACAGTGGTAATACGAGCGGTTCATGTGAATCAAGTCAAGCAAATGGTAATGGTAGCGTGCCTGTGTGGGGAAGTAACGGCGGAGAAAGTAATCATGGCAGCGTTAGCAAAAATAGTAATACAAATAAAACAAATTCCAGTACACCTCCTCATGCGGCAGCTTCGTCTGATGTACCGTCACTCTCATTACTAGCGGCATCTAACGGGGCTTCGGTAGAAAGCGCAACAGATCCTTGCCCTATCTTATCAGTTTCGCCAGTTAATAAAGATATTTTAGCAGCAAGTTCTGGTGACGGTAAAAATAAAAAGGAGAGGGGTAGAAACGAAAAAGTTAAAAACGACAAAAGTGCAAAATCAAAAAATAAAAATTGTTCAAACGATGTCAATAAAAGTTACGTTCTTAATGCACAGCGTGAAAATAGCAGTCATAACAGTGATGTCAAAGATAGCTCGGAATCGTCATCTGCTGATGGAAATGCGTCAATATTCGAGAGCCCCGTCCAAGAAGGTAACGTTACCCCAAATAATATGAGTTGCAATACCATAAAGGGCAAAATAAGTAAGCCAAAGGCTTCAAGGAAAAATTTCAACGAAAGCGACATTAAACCAATTGAGGATTCTCAAAACAATTTTGGTGGAAAGGAAAGTGAGAAGGGGGTAAGTGAAAGTAGCAGTAATATAAATAAAACAACAGAACCATTCGAAAGTCCAGAAGTATCAGGAAACGAATTAACTGATACCAAGAAGACTGAAAATAGCGAAGGAGAAGAATTTATGGCGGATAAATCATTTGAAGACACTAATTTGAAATCCGAGGAAAACGAAAATCTGGTTAATACAAAACCAGCACTTTCACAACTTAATCCATTCGACAACAGCACAACTCTGCAGAATCCAAACTGTTTAGAAGACAAGGTCGAAGACTTGTCAAATCAAATGAATAATGTAAAAATATCACCATTGCCAGATTTATTAAAGGGCATTGAAGAGCAACAGTTTCAACAAGTACACCCACATCAACAGAAAGAACTGGCACGCCTACTCGAATTACACAAACAAAATAGTTTATTTGGCAATTTGAATTTATTACAACCTAATGTACCACCAAGTGGTGTACAAAATCATTTCGGCAGCTTATCTGAGATTGGGCAATCACCACTGACAACTTTGGAGCATGCATCAGAACTTCTCTTGAGTCAAAATCTCTATGGCATAAATATGTCGAAATTCTTTGATTTTCATAAGAATCAGCAATTACAGTTGCAGCAACATTGTGGAAACAATGAACAGCCTCTTTTGAATGGAAGTAATACTATTTTAGAAAATACCTCGAATTCTTATCAGTTTATGCAACACTCGAGTCTAACGAATTTGCAGCAGCAACAACAACAACAACAGCAGCAACATCAACAGAACCAGCAAAAACATCGGGCTCTTGGTCAACTTGACTCAATGTTGGCGTTGCAACAACACCATTCTGCCATACAGACCCCACAACATACTTTGCTGCAAAATCACAGCCGAATGCAAAATGAATTTTCCAGTAATGCTTTTGTTGACGACGAATTGGGCTTCGATCCGTTCACAGAAACTCAAAAGGGTTTGGCTGAGCTGATGGAAAATGAAATAGTTAAATCACAGCACTCTAAACCCAATTGCAATAATATTCTTGTAGGCGCCGATTCCAATATGATGCATCAACACCCACTACAACATCAACATAACATTGATAATATGCAACGTGCTCGTATGCCGCCACCGGGCTTTAATCATATGAATTCGTTTGGATTTAATGCACCGCGGGAGCACAATACAAGCAAAATTATGCCATTCCTAAATATGGCAGGAGGTAATAGAGGACATTTAAATGATATTCCACATTTGTCCGTTTTTAACACTTGGGATTCACATTTGCAATCGCCACGCCATCAATTACCAAACTTTAGTGAAATGCAGGCACATCAAAATAATCGAAGTGCTGGTAATTTGGGCAATGACTGGACTGCGATGGATCCGGCCATACTATCTTTTCGACAATTCCCATCATGCCCTCAACCATCTCAAATGCTTCATCATCATCAACAAAAGGATTTGTTTGCTCCACATTTGGCACAACAACAGCAGCAAACCAATTTTGGCAACCTAACTCATGGCGGTGCAAATATTCACATGCCAAATAACCAGTTGAGCTCCCAGTCTGTCGCTCAAGCGCAGGTTAATGCTAATGTCCAGGGGATGTTGGAATATCTAAAAAATAATCAATTATTTTAAGCGACTGGATAATATATCAAAATTGTAAAACTATTGCTTTAAAACAATAAATCTATCGCTTGCTTATCTTTTCTTGATTTAATGGATTAAATACTTTTTCATTTATCACTTAGTATGATTAGGTTCTGTGCACCTTTTAGCTTCAAGGCTTTACAACACGAAATATTTTTTAGGAAGAGTGGAATTATATCGATAAAATAGAACTAAATCTTGCTTAATCTATTACGTAGATCTTGTGAATTATTCATATATAGTGGAGACCAATACTGGTCGGATGTTTGTCAAAATTCAACGTAAGTCAATAATTATTCAATTTGCTTGAAATTTTTAATTTTAAATGTTTATATATTTCTTTAAACGTAAAGTAAAATAAAAAATTAAAAAAGCCAACATAAACCAATGATTTCATAAAAAAACCAAACAAAATTCATGCATCCAGTTATGCACGCCAATGTTAGTACATTTCGACAACGAGTCAGTCGGATTTTTATGCATGATCTACTTATAAGTATATGTTTTGTTCCTATTTCTTCTAAATTTGTGGTTCCAACTTGCAGTGGGGCCTTCCAAATTATTTTGTAAAAGTTTTGTTTTTGTGGGGTCTTGCAAAAACGCAATCGATGTGCCAAATGAAATTCTATGATAGATTGGTTGTTTGTTGTGATGATAAGCAAACCGATCGCCTAAACCCTATCCCATTGATGCTACATTCGTTGGCTTATTAGACTTAGAAGAGGGTTTTTTGGGCGAAAATTCAATATTTTTGCACAATCCTTCAATTACCTTCGGCTTGCGCATATGAGGGGTGAAGATAAGTCACACTATGAAGTGCACGAGACACAAATTACCCAAAACATAAGGGAGGGTTTGCTCTTTTACTTTGATTTACAATTTTAAATGTGTTGGCTTGTGCGTGAGTGTTATAAATACTTGGAGAAATTGCTTTATCACAGGAGAATGTGTGTATGTTTGGTAAAATCATATTTACGTATATCGGAGTAAGATTTCGCTCTAGCTACTTAGATGATTGACTACAGAGTATTGGCTTTAGTTTCAATTTACATAAATTAATGACAGATCAGAGTACTTGAGTGGAATCGATTCAAGACACTCAGAGTAAATGAAATATTATAGAAGACTGCTAACGCCTAGCACACTTTAGAGAAAATATTTTTACAAAGAGTGTATGCAGCCAGCGAATGGCAAAGGGGTGCGCAATAAGCTTACACATGTACATAATACATATAAATCTGAGTACAGGGAAAATATATTTGCAGTTTGCTCCGTGTGATACGTGTGCGCGCGCATGCGCTTAAAAAATTCAATCGGGCAGCTGCAACTCTTCCATTCGCGCCAGTGCAAGCAAACAATTAGTGAAAAAACTGCATAAGTATGTATGTGTGCATGTGTGTAGGTAAAAAACAGAGTTAAGTTCCCTTGGATGTTGGGCAGATGTTACTGCTGTGAAATCCGGTTCATCAGATCGCATTTTACGCAAACTCAGTGATTGTTAGGGTGACTGAATTTAAAAAGGGTACGAAATGGCAAACCTTTATTTTACAGTTTTTTGTTGATTCACGGTACACAATTTTTGGTGGTTGTGCGGTGCAGTTGGCGTAGTCGCTCAAAAAAAGGTTAGATCCCTATACAAGAGAACAGCACTTCCTTTAAAATATCTACAACTTGCAGAATTGTAAAGCACATTTAAAAATGTTGCACAGCCAACAGTTGTGCCGTGAATTGTAAAGGTTTTGTAATTTTAGCTTATGATAACTAATATTTTTTCCACTGTATCAAAGCATTGCATATTAATTCCACAGACAATGCATGCATTTTCTTACTTATGTATCATTTCAAGAGAAGGATATATTTCCATTTCTGGTAAATCTGTTGCATTTTACAAGTAGACTAAAATCATGATATTTTGTAATGGGAATGTACCAACAACGTAGCCTCATTACTAACTGTGTTCATTGAAATAGCAGTAAAGTAGAAGCAGAAATATATAACGCTTTTTTGCATATCTCTTTCGTTGATTGATCGTTATTATTATTCTTTGCCTATTAGATATTGTTCACGCAACGCACATAAATGTGTTGAAGAGTTTATCTATTAAATGTTTATTTTATTCTGCCGATTTACCAGTAATCCTCCTTTTTAAATCAAAAGGCTTATCATAATTATAAATTTTGCCATATCATAGAAATTGAAAACACAAATCTAAATACATAGGTATGCGCATCTATAATTCAAGAACATTCGTTGAGTCTATTTATAGCCTTTTACTCGTTTCGCACATTGCGTGGTATATTTCTCTTTTTCATTTATATTCATGGATAAGTTATATTTTTGATGTTCCCTCTTGTGAAAAGCTGAAATTAGTACTTGACCCGCACAAACAAAGACTTTTTCTTCACTTTTTGCGGGAACAGCTAGAACGAAGCAAGTTGAACGATCGCAAGCAAGGAGGGATCATGGGGTGCATTGCCACATAATTATTTCAGATTATTTTTGTTTATTAATTTTATTGATCTCAATTCAGTTACTTAAATAGCATATTTTACTCACTGAAACAATTAGAATATTTCAGGAAAATATGTTCGTATGTATGCTTAGGTTTATTGAATATGCCCTTATTGATGCGTATTTACACAAATGTGAAAATCAACATACATTCGCACGTGCACTGATGCTTACCTCTCCTTGCCCGACACAAACAAAGACTTCATTTTTTGATTCTTGCGAGAACAGCTAGAACGATCGCAGGCAAGAAGGAGTCAAGGGGTGCACTGCCACATAATTATTTCAGATATTTTTTTATTAATCGAATTTATTTTAAAAACTTTTAAATAAGTATGAATTTATGTGTATTTATATTTTTACGTAAATATTATTAAATTACAAAAATAAGTCATTAATGCATCAGCAGAGAACGTAAATGTTAAATGAAATCTTTTTGAGTACTAATTTGTAATTCCACATGAGGGAAAATCGAAAAATATAACTTCGAAAGAGAAAAATACACCACGCTGTGTGCGAAACGGAGAAAAGGCTATAAATAGACACAACGAATGAAAAATCGGTGCGCATACCTATTTAGATTTGTTTTCAATTTCAATGATACAACGAAAATTTAAAATTGTGAAAAGCCTTTTGAATTAAAAAGGAGGATTACTGGCAAAAACCCCAGAATTCATAATAAAACAACCTTTGATATGCAATTTTCCAACTTTTGTATGTGCGTTGCGTAAGCAATATACTTATTAAACAAATGATAATAATAAAACTGGCTAAGCGGTCGCGGTTCCATTTATATAGTGGCTTAGATCGTAGGGGTAAAGGAGTTAAGCTCAATCCGAATATGAGCATATACGTTCAAATCGTTAAATACATAAAGTTAAAATTTTATTTAATTTTTTTATTTTATTAATTGGAATTAATTAGCATATCTCAATTCAAATACTTAAATAGCATATTTTACTCTCAGAGATAATTAAAATATTTCAGGAAAATATGTTCATATGTTTAGGTTTATTGAATATTTCCTTATTATGCGTATTTACACAAATGTGATAATCACACATGCATTCTTAAATACACGTACGCTGATGTTTGCTTCTTCTTGCCCCGCACAGCAATGACTTTTGTCAACACTTTTTGCTTTTTGCGAGAAGCAAGTTGAACGATCGTAACCAAGAAGGAGTCAGGGGCGCACTGCCACATAATTATTTCAGATAGTTTTTATTAATCGGATTTATTTTAAAAACGATTATAGGTATGAATTTATTTGTATTTATATTTTAACGTATCTATTAATTATATTACGTCATTAATGCATTAGTATTTTTCAATACAAATTAAGCAACATATTAACATATTACGAGCCCTCACTTGACACGCCTCTGTGCATGGTGGCAAGCCAACGAAATAACGGCGAGTTCGCACGGACATTGTGTTGTTGAAAAAAATCAAATGACGACTTTGTCGACAAATATACATATTTACATACATACAAACGAGGTCGCATACATATTGACGTTCCTTATGAATGAATTTGTTGTGGTTGTAATATGAAATACTTAGAAAATAAGCCGCGAGTTCTCTTGAATATTATTGGCCGATGATGGTGCGTCTAGGTTTTGTTGTCACTTGCGTCTGCTTCAAAGCAAAGTACGTTCGTTCATAACTCTGCGCCGCGCTATTTTTTCTGTACGCCTAGTAAACCAAATTTGGTTTTCATATAATTAAGTACGCAAATGCGAAATTAAGTTTATAAAATGAATGAATGAATGAAAATGAATTTGAATGGTTTCAGTATCAATCAATTTGTATCACTGAAAATCCTACCATTCCCCTCGCATTTGTATGTTGCCCACAAGCTGCTTACTCACAACATTTGCTAAAAATCAGAAATTGAAGAATTTGTCTGATGTTCCCTTCAGAAAGGAGAATCGGCAACATGATCTATTAGCGAGTTAAAATACACTATTAGCGAGTTTACATTTTATGTAAACACGACGCTATGAAAATGCAGTCCAATCGGTAATCGCAATATTTCAAAAGAGCATAAGTCAACTTTCAATAGCAAACCACTACAAAAAGGACAAACGAGACAACATAGCCAACCGAAATTGTCGTAAAATTGTCGATTCAAACAAATTTTGACAACTCCGCGACGATTTACACAATTTGGTGTCAATATGTATGCGAGCTCATATATGTATGTATGTATGTCGTCATTTGGGTTTTTTCAACAACACAATGTCGCGAACTCGCCGTTATTTCCTTGGCTTGCCACCATGCACAGAGGCGTGTCAAGTGAGGGCTCCTAATATATTAATATGTTGCTTAATTTGTATTGAAAAATACTGATGCATTAATGACTTATTGACGTAATATAATTAATAGATACGTGAAATAAATACAAATAAATTCATACCTATAATCGTTTTTAAAATAAATTCGATAAATTAAATATATATCTGATATAATTAGTGGCAGTGCGCCCCTAACCCCTTCTTGCTTGTGATCGTTCAACTTGCTTCACGCAAAAAGGAAAAAGGTGTTGACAAAAGTCATTGCTTGTGCGGG